CTGAACATGGCCTACTACACTGCATGTAACACTACACACAACACAGAATTGGTGCCCCAGAGTTCACTGGACACAGACACACATGTAACACTACAAACACTCCTAAGCCCACTAAATAACACCCAGACCGTCAAAGCCTTAGGTATTTCTATTCCAAACTGGCCTTCTAGATAGCATCTAAGTCCCCATAAACCATTAGTACCAGCATGAGAAAAGGAACCCCCTAAACCCACATAACCTGAAAACAAAACAACAAAAAACAAAAACAAAAGAAAACAACAAATACAAACCGAACTACACCACACTTCCGCTCACAATCACCCTACTGACTGAAAGGATTTTGCCTTGACCGAAAAACACTGTCTTGGTAGAGAGACGTGTGGAATACACTATATTTCACTTGTACCGGTGTGACTGACTATATGTGCTGTTAGTTTGGTTATTTTTAATACAAAAAGTGTTTTGTAACATATATTATATTTGGGATTACACTTTCCCTAGAGTGTTATGTTGCTGTTACATACGTGTCACGGGTTCAGGTCTTGAGATGTCCCAGGGACAATAAATGATGAAACGGGGAACGTCGCTTACGATCTAAACCAGTTTATTGCCTGTGAAATAATACGAACACAACATGAGAAAAATGTTGCACGTCCGACATGGTTGGATGGTGACATGATATTGTCACACGTCACAGGCATGAAACGCACGTGATTTGGCGGGTAGCCGAATACGGGTGGCACGTACAATTCTCTACATATAGACAGTAGTGAGTGAGTGAGTGAGTTAATATTTAACGTCACATCGGCAATATTTCAGCCATATCGTGACGAGAACATTCGATATTAGAATGAAATATATGTATATTATAAAAAAACCTGCCGACGAAGGGCAGTAAAACAACTAGAATATCACAGATATCAATATAAAACTAGCGAACAAAGCTAAAATATTCCAATTAAAGAAGACAATACAATATAAAAATGGGCTATAGATCGCCAACAACTGAAGGTAGATCACCATACTAAGGCCCATGGGGACTTACATTACTTTTGCTACCTGCATGGACCCTAGCTGGATTTACACCATCCCTTCAGCCATTGGCGTTTATACTGAGATTTAGCCATACATTAAAAACACAAAAATACTACGATTAAAAACCTGGTACACTTAAATTGACTTGAAATGTTTTGGGACTTACGTACCCTCGCAGGAGGACAATAATTTTACGCTACTTCAACCCCCTTTGAGAGTACAGCCACTAACAATCTCAGTTACTAATTCAAACTACCAATAATAAAATATATATCTATTTACAAATCACTTAACAAATCTAATTCTTTTAAAAATGCAATAATTAAATGAGAACTGACATTATTAAAAAGATCCTTCATAGTGTTTACTTTGAAATAGATATCCCTTGTGATGGAATATTCGATGCAGTCAAGCAAGACATGCTTGACCGTGATTCTTTCATCACAAGGGATGCAAAACGGAGGATCTTCGCCTTTAAGCAAATATTCATGGGTATACCTTGTATGGCCAATGCGACATCGCCGCATAATGACTTCTTCAAATCTGGACTGACAACCCAAGTAAGTGTAACCAATGTAGGGTTTTATTTCATGTAATTTATTGATACCTACTTGGGTGTCCCACTTCTTCTGCATCAGATAACGGATGTAGGTTCTAATGCAAGCTTTGTAATCAGAGTAAGGAATAAGAAGTGGTGTCACAGATTTGTTGAGTGCTGCCTTGGCAGCAAGATCGGCCATTGTATTCCCAGAAATGCCAACGTGGCTGGGCAACCAACAAAAGACGATGTCGCATTGGCCAGTAGCAAGATCATTATATAATTCGATTATTTCAATTAAAAGTGGATGTTTACAAGATAGATTTTTAATAGCCTGAAGGCACGAAAGAGAGTCAGAAAATATTAGATATTGTTTATGTTTGGGATGTCTCTGAATATATTTAAGAGCTGTTAAGATGGCGGTTGCTTCTGCTGTAAATATAGAGCTGTTATCAGGTATTCTAGAAGATATTGATCTTGATCCAATGACAGTGGCACATGCCACTGCGCCACTGTTCTTGGACCCATCTGTAAATAAGGATTTGTATGTACATGTATTATATTGATTTTTTAACTCATTATATTCTTGTTTGTATTGCAATTCATTAGTTTCAGATTTCTTAAACTTTGTCAGAGTTAGGTCAACTTCAGGCCTCACCAGTTGCCAAGGAGGAGAAGAAAGAAGACAGGAAGGAGATATATTTTCTAGCTCAATGCCGGCAGCAGACAGAAATGGTTTAATTCTTAAACCAAGAGGCGGAACAAGAGAAGGCTTTTTGTTGTACAACTCCTCATAAGAAGGATTGAAAACACAGTTAAATGCAGGATTAGACTCGTTAGAATATAGTTTTGTTACATACTGTAATGATAATTTAATACGACGTTGGTTAAGGGATGGCTCATCAGCCTCAACATAGAGACTGTCAATAGGAGAGGTTCTAAAAGACCCAAGACAAAGTCTTAGGCCTTGGTGGTGGACAGAATCTAAAAGTTTTAAGTTGCTTTTGCAGGCTCCATCGTAGACGATGGAGCCATAATCAAGTTTCGAGCGAACCAATGAACGGTATAGGTGGAGGAGGGTAGTTTGGTCCCTCCCAATTTGAATTAGAAACCACTTTCAATAAATCGAGTGCCTTCAGGCATTTAGTTTTAGGGATTTAATATGCGGAAGAAAGGTTAAATGGGAGTCGAAAATAAGTCCCAAGAATTTCGCTTCCTTTACAACTTTGATGGGGTTCCATTTAGAACTAATTCTGGGTCTTTATGTGGTTTATATTTACGGCAGAAATGTATGCAATTAGTTTTTGATTTAGAAAATTTAAAGCCGTTTTCAAGACACCATTTATTTATCTTGTTTAAACACAGCTGCAATTGCCGTTCAATAGTATGCATATTTTTACCACGACAAGAAATATTAAAATCATCCACAAAAAGTGATCCATCAATGGAGTCGTTTAAAACTTTAGCTAAACTGTTAATCTTTATGCTAAATAAAGTGACAGACAAAATACTGCCTTGTGGGACACCCTGATCCTGATTGTAATGATCAGACAGGGTTGAACCCACGCGGACTTGAAATTGCCTGTCAGATAAAAACTGAGGCAAACTGCTATAAACTGAGGCAAACGGCCCCGTAAACCAAAATCATGTACATCTTTTGAGATGCCGTACTTCCATGTCGTGTCATAAGCTTTTTCTAGGTCGAAAAAGATTGACACTGCATGTTGCTTGTTAATAATGGCATTCTTAACAAATGATTCCAGTCGAACTAAATGGTCAATGGTACTGCGATTTTTACGAAAACCACATTGAATATTTGTGATTAAATTATTAGATTCTAGGTACCAAGTTAATCTGTTATTGATCATGCGTTCCATGGTCTTGCAAACACAGCTAGTTAAAGAAATGGGCCTATAATTAGATGGATCGGTATGATCACGTCCAGGTTTGGGTATGGGTACAACGATGGCATCACGCCAGGATGAAGAAAAGTTACCAGTTGTCCAAATGTCGTCAAAAATATTCAAAAGTGTCTCTAGTCATGATTCAGGTAAGTGTTTTAGGAGTTGATAATGTATACCATCAGCTCCTGAAGCAGTATCATGAGCCTGGTCAAGAGCAGTATGAAGCTCATGTATCGAAAAGGTTTCATTGTAGTCTTCCCCATTATCTGAAGTAAAATTAATAGATTTCTTTTCTTGCATTTTTTGATATTTTTGGAATTCAGGTACATAGTTAGATGAGGAAGAATGCTTGGCCAGAGTCTCACCAAGTTTATTAGCAATATCTGATGTAGTAGTCAATAATTCATTCCCATCTTTAAGATTAGATTTAGAACCTTTCCCTTTGATTTTCTGTATCATGTTCCATACCTTTGACATTGGCGTACGTGAGTTTAATTTTGAAACATAATTTCGCCAAGACTGGCGTTTGTTTTGTTTGAAAGTACGCCTTGCTGTAGCATTTAAAATTTTGAACTTATTGAAATTATGGACCATAGGATGGCGCCGAAAATACTGTTCAGCTTTCTTCCGGGCCTTCCTAGCTTGTTTGCAGTCAGTAGTAAACCATGGTTTGCGTATGTGTGGATTTGAAGAGGACTTCGGAACACATTCATCAGCTATCTTCAGAAGTTCGTTAGAGAAGAGTGCTACAGGGTCGGAAACATCACGAAAAGCACCAGGTGTTAGTTTAGTAGAACAACGAGTTTCATACAAATCCCAGTTAGGTTTAGCAAAGTTCCACCGTGATGACGGAGGAACATCAGAAGGTGTCACAGATTTTAACAGGGTGGGAAAATGGTCACTTCCACAGAGGTCATCGTGAACTGACCATTCAAATTCACTCAGTAAATTAGAGTCAACAATGGATAAATCCAGACAAGAGTAAGTTCCAGTTCCTGGATGTAGATAGGTATGAGAACCATCATTAAATATGCATAAATCGTTGTTTAAGAAAAAATCCTCCAGTACTTTACCTTTTGTATTGCAGTTATTACTACCCCAAAGTGGGTTATGACCATTTAAATCTCCCATTATGACACAGGGCTTAGGGAGCTGGTCATATAGCGCCTGAAGTGCAGACTGTTGAAGGCAAGTCGACGGTGGAATGTACAAAGAACATAATGTGAAAACAACATTTAATGTTATTTGAACTGCAACAGCCTGGAGAGGGGTATTGAGAGGAACAGGGCTATGAATGATGCCCTGCCTCACTAAAACAGAAGAACCGCCAGTAGCTTTATCCCCTGAAGGGGAAAAGCTATGGTATGAATCATAATGTCTTAGGTCAAATTTATCGGTGCTTTTGAGAAAAGTTTCTTGCAAACAAAATGCTGATGGTTTGAAATCCTGTGTTAAAAGTTGAAGATCATTTAGATTGTTCCAAAGTCCTCTACAATTCCATTGTATGATAGTGGGAAAGCCACTCATGGTGGCTTAACTGGAGATAGTGAGCGGTTGGATTGCCCTCTATGCTGCAAAGGCAGCGATGGATTGACTTCCATATCTAGAGGTTCAAAGACGTTGTGAACATCCACAGGGGATGAGGTAGACGGGACCTTAATATTTTTAAAGGACCTTGCTTCTTTTTTCCGTTGTTGTTTTCGTTCTTTTGCAGTTAGTTTTCGTTCTTTTGCAGTTAGAGTTCTATTCGTTTTCTCGGCATGTACACAGTCAGCCACAATCACGGGTTCAGGGACAGAGTCAGTCTGCGAAGCAGATGAAGTGAGTGAGTCTTCAGCATCGATTGGATACAGTATTTTCTGATCATTTGATACCCAGCTAATAGCAGTTTGACAACCATTATCAGATTTGAGAGGAGTAGAGGAAACTGCAGCGGAATAAGTCAGTGAAGGAGAAGGAGTGGTTGGTGCATTTGTTACCAATTTCCGTGCCTCTGTGAACGAAATGTCTTTGGTATATTTTAATTTTAATATTTGTGTCTGCGTGACGAAAGAGGGACATGATTTGGAAGAGGACATGTGAGTTCCACTGCAATTGGCACATTTGATATCATCTGTGCACTCTGTGCTTTCGTGTTGTTTACTGCAGCGGGAGCAAACTTGGGCGTTACGACATGATTTAGCTCCGTGTCCGAATCTTTGACATTTAAAACATCGGAGGGGGTTAGGAATATACACATAAACTCCGATGTTGAAATACCCTGCTTTGATCGATGTAGGGATCTTTGTGAGGGCAAAGGTGAACAGGTATGTATTGGTATTTACAATATTGTCACCATCTTTCCTTGTAAATCGTTTCACTGATGATACACCCTGGGGCTTCAGTTCTGTCACAATTTCCTCCTCGGACATGTCTGAGAGGCACTTGGCACGATCTCGGACAATGCCTCGACATGAATTGAGAGTTTTGTGCTCTGACACAACGATCTCCGTGTTTGCAAAATGATGTGCCTTTAAAAGATTCTGAGACTGCTGTCTCCTTGTACATTCCACCAGCAGGGAACCGGAGCGGAGACGCGTGACATTTCTAACTGTACCACAAATTCCTTCAATAGATTTAGAAACAACGAAGGGATTGATTTTCAGTGGTTCACTATTACCTCCTTCAACGACTAGAAAACGTGGCCAAGAATCAACATTTTGAACAGATTCCTCGTCGGAAGATGTTGCTATATCTGCATCAATGTGACGCCTTTTCGTTTTAGAACGAGAACCAGTTAAATTTGAGGTATCCATAATGGAAGAAAGGTTATTCGACATCCCTGCTCCCCACCCGCCATCGAGTGTCAACAAGGACAGTGTTATAGTGGAAGCCGCCTACAAACACCAGGGCTACAGGAATGTTATACTCTAGCAATAATGACTCAGATAGCTATTTCTGCCAAACAGAATAAAGGTCAGGTTGGTTCAGCCCAAGACAGATACCTGAAGGCATATAGAATCTGGAGGTCAAAAAATGCCAGATTGGCCCATGAGCCACCGCCTTCTGGCATATAGTCTCTAGGCAAAGGTGTTTTTTTAAACTGTTGTCTGTTTTGTCCATTAAAGAAACAGGTATGAATGTAACAAATACAAATGTCACATGCTCAGGGCATGGCGTGACCAGCCGATTGATAGAATCGGGCCGATTCTACAACCCGTCTAGGTGTAGTAAGAGCCGAAGTGGTGTGTTGGGCAATAGGAACACGGTTCCAGGCTCCTACTGCCCTCAACCACCAGACTACCGTCCTCCACCGACACAGGGGCGCAACCCACGGCAAACGGGTTGGTGGACCAAATATCCCCCCGGGTCCACAACGGGGGGGTTGAAGGGCACTTAGCGTGACCCAGCACCCACCACGAGGAGGTGGCCCTTCATGGGTGCCTAGACAGTAGTGAAGCAGCCTTCTGGTGAAATAAAAGGGAAATAGAGGCTGTCGGCAACATATGTCATACATAAGTTAATTATTCTGCTTTGTTTGTATCCAAGGTGTGGTAAATTCATTTCCACATCAACGATTAATTATTGAAGTCCTCCAGGTAATTCAGATGCTCTGTAGTTAAGCTCTATGATAACAGTTAGGGTAGGATTGTTTTAATGTGTTTCACGTAGCCACCATGCTCTTAAGATATGTCGTTATTCGGTTTAGAAAATACATTAAAATAAATCTAGATTTGTTCATAACTACTTTAGAACAGAAGACCAAAACATCTGTACCTGATTATGGTTCGCCTGTGTAGGAGAGGCTATGGGAAATGTGCGTTTGGAATAGCAGAACAATCTAATTGATTCTGTTGTCTTTGGTATTAAAAATGATAGACACAGCAAAATACAATTTCCAGATTTTAAATCCATAACAGATTCTGCACTCGAAGCAAAAGAGGCAGAATAACAAGGAAAATCAGCAGAGAACATCAAACTCCGAGGGCCATTCAATATATTTTAATATAAGGCCTAGTTGCAGACAATATTTTGCACTTTTAATTTTCTGTAAATTTTCCATTCACCTCAACACACTTATTCCATTTGTCCTTCAAGCTTTTAATACCACTTTTATAGAAATCCACAGACTTGCCCTCTAACTCCTCTGTGGTTGAGAGCGAAACTTCTTCGGAGGCGGAGAAGTAGGGGTGCGTCCATTGCATGGATTCCAATGTAATTTCTGGGTCCCAGTGGTGGATCCATGTTTCATTGCTTGTCACTAGACGAGAAGGACATCCAGCTTCATCAGCAGTATAGAGACCCAGGAGCCTCGACAACTTTCAGTTCGCCGATGGCGATCTTGAACTCTGAGGTTTCTAGGTACCCATCTTGCAGATACCTTGGACATACCAAGATGCTCGTAAATAATGGTTTCAACAGTTCAAACTGATATCTGGAATTCCTTAGAAAGCTAAGATACTTTCATTTGTCGGTCAGACACAATTCTATTTCTATAGCCTGTGGCCTTTTGCTGAATAAACTTGTCTGTCTGTTTGTCTATTTCTATAGCGGCTATGGTTTCCGGTTGGGTGGCATCTGAAGGCCTGACCTTGGGTCATCGTCTATGGGCAACCTACCCCATTTAAACTGTTGAGACCAACGGCAAACTGTGGAATAGTCACGAGCATCCTTACCCACCACTTTACACATGCGATCATGGGTTTCTTTCGATTTGCATCCCTGCTTGGTAAAGAACTTTATTACAGCGCGTCTGAGAGAATCCATGATTGTGATCACACAAGCACAGAAATAAAACATATTGCCCTTAGCGGACAGGTAAAAACAGAGGTTTCCAGATAGATCGCTGTAGTCACTTTGATTGATTACTGTAGCCACATGCAGCGTGGTAGCCTTAAGTCAGTTTTGCTTTTTCTGTATCCTGTATGTCAGTGTGAGTACATTTAGATGCCTTATTTTTCATAAATGAATAACTGAACAATAATAAATTTATCTCTGTTTCCAACTGCACATTAATTGATACACAGCCAAACACTGTAGACGTCTGTAGTGTTGTAGCCTTGCGGTGTCCAACTGTGCCGAAGGCTGGGTCTCTTCTTTATTGTCAAATCATTTATAACCTTATAATAACATTTATGCACCATTGAACGTCAACATGTGATGATGGCTGTTGTGTTTTCAGCATATACAGGCATACAGTAAAAGTTTTGTTGAAGATCACTCCGTTATAACATTATTGAGTGAAAAAGTTTATTCCTTGTGAGTGTATTACATGGGGTGTTGATCTCAGTTTGTCCTCTACTATCAGCTTTCCAAGCCCTGCGTGATTGGAATGGACACAAACAATTTGTGATATTCATGATATTCAAACGTACGCATGGCTCACTACACAAGGAGACAAGTCTTCGCGCAGATGGTTAGAACTTGTATCATTATAGTTTTACTGAAGCAGATATTTGTACGAGTGAGTGAGTGAGTGAGTGAGTGAGTATGGTTTTATACCACTTTTAGCAACATTCCAGCAATATCACGGCAAGGGACACCAGAAATGGGCTTCACACGTTGTACCCATGTGGGCAATCATACCCGGGTCTTCGGCATGACGAGCTAACGCTTTAACCTTTAGGCTCGGGTATTTGTCCAAAGTGTTGTGGAGATGTCATACGGTAGGTATTGTATTCAACCTTTTCAACAAGGAGGTGGACGAACCGATCAGAATTTACAATCCCACATGTCTTGGCACGTGCCATTATCATCAAGATCAGACAATGTCCGGGGAATCTATAGATGCTCTTTGTCTTCTTTTGTTATTATACATTTAGATTAATGCAGTGACAAACCTCTTTAAAATACTGCATGATTTAAACATTCATCACATATTGTCAACTCTTTTCACGTCGACCTGTGTTCCTGCAACCCCGACCCGTGAAGGTCCGGGTTAGATTTGGTCTTCAGCAAACCATGCTTGTCGCAAGAGGCGATTAACGGGATTGGGTGGTGAGGCTCGCTCACTTGGTTGACACATGACATCGTATCCCACTTGCGTAGATCGATGCTCATGCGGTTGATCACGGGATTGTCTGGTCCAGTCGATTATTTACAGACCGCCGCCCTATAGGTGAAATATTGCTGAGTGCGGCGTTAAACAACCAACAAACCAACCAACCAAATCCTGCAACTCCATTTGGCGTCCATATTCCACAACATTTTAGGTACAAACAAGCTTTCTCTTTCTAAGAAAGTTTGAAAGAGCGCCAAACAACAAAATGATATTTGATCAATGTTACAACATTCAAGATCTCACAAAAAACTTTCGAAACATTTTATGGTCACATGTGCCGGGCATTTTCCACATCTGACGCATTGAGATGACACAACTTTATGGTTGATCAACTTCTTTATTTTCACAATGGCGACGTTTAGGTATAGGTTCGAATACCGTTTTCAAGCGTATGGGGGAATGATGGGGTACACCAGTTTATATACAAGATACATGTACATATGATAAGGAGATAACAATAACAAGGGTGGGATAGCAAAGCATCAAAGAAGGTTACATGATGAGCTACGATAACTTGATGCTGAGCTAAAATATCATAAATGAGATGAGTGGGATTACCATGACAATTATTGAATGTAAGTCATTAGATTAATTAAAGAGAAACCAGTGGTGAGGAGTGTGAGTTAGGCGGGTAAATGAGAAGCCAGAGTGGGTTGTGTGGATTAATTGTAGAATCATGTGTCATGATGTTTAATTTGCATAACTACCGGAAATGTCTGTCTTGCCACGCATGCGTCCTCTCCTTTCCGTCCCGCCTGCCATGCTTGTGCGGCGTATATCATAACCTTCATCTTTTAAGTTTTAGTATAATCAACTTTGGACTTATGCCATCGAAACGTAAGTGTTCCACTTGTAAAGAAGCTTTATCTGGACACGACGGGCCTTCCGGACGCTTCTGCAAACAGAATGAAGACAACCTTTACCTCGTAGACGAAAGTTCCTTTGCTGCACTGCAGCGGCAGGCTGGACGGGTGCGCGACCGAAGACACCGGCTCCGTGAAACGAGAACTTCAGGATAGTCTCCCTTTGCCTCAGGACGGGCAGAAATCTGCACTGGTCTCGGACTTAAATGAAACGATTCAGGCTTTAGAACGTCAAGACAGGGAGTTAGTGTCACAAATCTCAGCAGTGCGGCTGACTGGGAAAAAGCAGTCAGCAGTTCCCTTATCATCGTTGAGGAAGGACAGGACTGCCGTCAGCAGAGCGGACAGCAGAGCTCGTCAACTATTAGAATTAGACAGAAGTACTGATTTGTCCTTAATCAGGTTTCACTCGCACAGGAAGTGATTAAGCTGTTTTCGATGTTGCTTGGCCACAAGAATATTATTCTGGGAGTGAAACACACATAATCCAATATGTTGAACTTTCATGCTACAAAGACAGTAGAGCTAACCACCTCATACAGTGCACGTTTTGTGTTGAGAAATTCCTGTGGGCAAATGTTTTGCGTTTCCATCAAGATGTACTGCATGAGATTGAAAGTGGTCGTGCCACATGGAGTGATAGTTTTGAACATATAAAGGCCAGGAGACTTTTGGACCCCTTACCTGCCTTCTACTGTGGCTCTTTGCAGCAAAAATGACAGGAGCACAAGAATGCTCTTGGGCATCTGGAACAACATATTTGCAGCCAATGCCGCACACGTCGCCGGGTTTCTGCGAATCATCCAGCTAAAGACTGCAAGCAGGTTAACACACCTTCTAACAGGAATGCTCAGGCCAATCAGTTCAGAAGAAACTCTGATCATCAATCATC